TGGATACCGAGTTTGGTTATTCTAGCTCTAGTACCTTCTGAGATCCTTATGCTCATACAGACGGACGGACGGACAGACGGACATGGCTATATCGACTCGGCTTGTCACCCTGATCAAGAATATATATACTTTGTGGGGTCTGCCACGCCTCCTTCTGTGTGTTACATACATGAGCACAAAACTAGTATAGCCTTTCACCCTTTGGATACAGGCTATAAAAATTCTTTCTTTCTGTCTTTGACGGACACAGCTAATAAGTCCAGAACGATCCGACCATGTTGGAGAGTCTTTTTCTCCTTCCTTATAATGATATTGAAACGGAATTTATGAATTAAATTAGTATGTTACTGTCATACCTAATGGTGTTGAATTACTGCTGCGTCACGTATGGTGGTCATGGAAAACTGAAATAATTGGTCTAATTTCCTTTACATACGAGTATACATACATATGTAATAATTTCGTTTTATCGGCCATTTCTGAAAACCTCAGAGACACATGCCATAGAATTCGATGGCTTGGTAAGCTTTAGCTATTTAAGCACTAAATAGCCCGCGTTTTTAGCATGGTTGAGTAAATAATATGATAGACCAGATCTAAACCGTGTTGAAAAAGTAATGCGAGCGAAAGAAATGACCATTAAAATGAGAAATAGGCTCACTTAAATGCAACCGACAGCGGCAATTGTGGGCGCATAATGGATGCCAACATGGATGCACACACGTGACACACAAATGGTCATCATAAAAATTTAGAAATTTTTCCAATGCGCAGCACGTAGCGCAGATTCCGGTTCACAATGTAACAGGTTAAACACTGTGCCACGTTAATTGCAGCGCTTAATTGCGCGACAGCTGCAACTGTTGCGACTGAGCCTGTAAATGTGTGCAACGGGGACCATTTTTATGCAATAACAATAAAGTTGCATAACAATGAAAAGGGCTTTCAGGCGGGATTCCAGGCCGGCTAACCTACGCTACTGACTATTTTGAAAAATGGCTGGCACACACCACGCACTAGTAGCACCGACCAATGGCCATTTGAAGTTGCCACAAAATGTTGCCAAATGAACTGCACCACAAACATGCATACATGCATACATGCATACCGTATACATTCGAGTATGCCAGCCTCCAGCTAACAATGGACACTCTAATTGCCATACATTTTCGGTCTTTGAAATGTATTAGGCAGGCGTTGTTTGTGGTTGCTCCTTCGTAGTCGTATTCACTTTTTGTGTTGGTATTTGTAATAGTCATGGGTGTTTGTTCGGCAATTGTCTTTGTTTATGTGTGTGTGTGTGTGTGTTTGTGTGTGAATGCACACGAGCAGCACGGACATTTAGGATAATTTCGTTTTTAAAATCACAGAATTTTATTTAACGATAGCTAGGCCTGGGAGTCTGTACAATGGTAGTGGACAATGGTCTGCCATTTATATTTGATTTTTTACAACTTGGATGTGGTTGGGGCCGTAATTACACGCACATTTTTGTAGGTGTACATTTTTGGCTCTTCATTCTTGACAAAGGATTATTTCAAGAGTACAAAACTGCAAATCAATCCGAAAACTATGTACTAGTTTCAATTGCATTTTCGTGATGCTCAGTGCAAAAAAGTCAGCCGAAAATGAGACAAGGACAGATCAGATGTCAGATAACAAAACTTAATGTTAAAGCTGGTTACTGAGAAAATATCATAGCTAGCCACAATCTCCATACAAAAAACACACTAAATTCATTTGTATCTATTCATGCGATCAAATGTGTAGTAGGATAAGTATGTGCATAGGAACTCGGGCAGTTACGTTTGCCTCCCGCAAAAGTTATAAGCAATTGTGTGGATCTTGATGTTTTTCTATAAAAATAGTGTGTGTTTATTTATTTTATTTTATTAGCTGTGGAATCTTCTCCGTTATTAAACGTTACAGCCAGGGAAAGCCCCTTAAGGTAAAACGATAATAGCTCATTGATAAAAGATTCGTACTTTCAAATTTTTATTATTGGCTTCCGTAAAGTAATGAGACAAAAAGCTGTTTCTCATTTCTCATCAGCGCTGCCCGCAGCTGTTGTTGATGTTGCTGCTTTGGTTCAACTTTGTGCTGCATACATACACGCATATAAACACGCATAGGTACGTGATGTAAATGTATGCTGTTAAAACTGAACATAAACATGTATTCTAATTTTATTAAATTAATTAATTTGTTTTTAATAATTTAATTTTTTTTTTTGTGGACAGTACAGGCTATTTTACTGTCGGGCTTGCTCGACTGTAGCGTTCTATCTAGTTTTTATACCTTGTACCCAAAGGGTACAAGGGTATATTAGTTTTGTGCGAGTGCACATGGAACACACAGAAGGAGGCTTGGTAGACCCCACAAAGTATATATATTCTTGATCAGCATGACAAGCCGAGTCGATATAGCCATGTCCGTCTGTCAGTCTGTCTGTCCATCTGTCTGTCTGTCCGTCTGTCTGTCCGTCTGTCTGTCTGTATGAACGCAAGGATCTCCGAAAGTATAAGAGCTAGAATAACCAAACTTGGTGTACAGATTCTCCTGAGACCGAGAAAGGACGAATTTGTTCATTTTTTCTGATCCACCCCCCCACTCCCCCCCCCCTATTACCGATTTTCTATAACTCCCGTAATTCTTGGAATTTTGAACTAAAATTTGGTAGACACATCCAGATAGTAATTATATATCCGTATACCAAGTTTCATTATGATAAAATGATCGGAAAGAAAGTTATAGCCATATAACCAGGCCCAATGCACACATACATACATATGTACAAGTACACAAACACTCATAAGGCACGATTCTGATGTAAATGTAAATATATGTATGCATGCATGGAATATTTTATATTTAATTAGTTAATATTTAGTTAATTAATTAAATTAATTTAGTTAATTAATTAAATTTAATTAATTAATTAATTAAATTACTTTTTTGTGGGGTGGTACAGGGTATTTAAGAGTTGAGCCTGCTCGACTTTAGCATTCCTTTCTTGTTTCTAAATGAGTACGAATATATGTAAAGTACTGGAGCAGCATTAGTAGCAGACTCCACAAAGTATATATTTTCTCTACTTTATTTCCATAATAATATTTATAACTCTACGAATTTGAAGTAACTAGCTGTCATTTGTTCCCGAAAGCTTAAGAATATTGACCATTGATATTGTTTAGAATAAAAACATCTAAAGCATCCTGCACTAAGGAAAACTTGTATAATGAGTTAAAATCAACTAGTTATGCCAGAAAATATTCCTGCATTCAAACAAATCAAAGGGGAAGATTGCATACCAGTTAAATGGCGTTAGCTCTTAAGTTTACTTCTCAGAATAAGTTTTTGTTGTTCCCAACAAAAATTCTCTATGTACTAAATTCTAAACGGGCAGAAGAGGAAAGTGCAGTCCAATTTATGAGCATTATTTCATTATTCAAAATTATTCATTAAATTGCAATCTTTTGGAAATGTTTTAAATCCTTTAACTTTTCAAAAAATCAACCTACATTGCCTTTAGTTTTACTGCCAGCCACTTAAACATTTTGCTTATACAGACATGCGACCGAAAAATCATTTGATTTTGTTGGAAACTGGCAGAGTATTGGCAGCCGACCAGCTTATATAACCCACCTTTGCGACCCGAGCATTACCCAAAAGCCGAGACTCACCCTACTGCCGCCGCAATACTCGTAAGTAATTTCTTTCAATTTCTTTCTGCTTATAGCTATTGAAGAACAAGATATAACGCAACAGTTCAGCAAGCCCGACAGGTCAATAACCTGTAACTGAAAAAAAAAACGTTGGATGATATACTATACATATGTACATATGGAATTGGCGTATTTGATGCCAAGTCGGGTCAATGTGGGCTCTGCCATTTCCGAAATTTAAGCCGGAGAGACCTGTGCCTGAAAAAAACATTGCTATAATCATACTTTACTTATGTACATACTTGTATGGAATTGTGGAATTGACCAAGTCTGGTCAATGTGGGTTCTACCGTTTCCGAAATTCAGGCGTTCATCCAGTCGAACGGACAGATGGATCTAACTAGGGAGGCAGAAGATATATTTGAATTATGGGGTCTGCTTTTTATATACTTTGAACACACACACCGAATATACCGTATTTAGCCTTCGGGTACATGGTATAACAACTGTTATCAAATTGTGCGTTGATTTTCCGCTTGCCTTGGTAGCACAACGTTCGCCCTTCATGGCCTTGTATGAGATTTTATGCAGCTTACTCTTTGGCGATGGGGCACGTGCACGGGTAGGGTTAAATTTGAAGACGGCCGTACTCAGCCGGGAAGTCGACTAAGGCTGACATGTGTACTACAGCACTAATCGTAGCTTCGTGGATATGGCGGGTGGCGCGAGAACGTGCGAGTACACATTGGTAATTGAATTTATTGTTTGACATTTAAAGTACCGTTGAGTCAATTACGTTGGAAATTCAGTATCAAAATATTTACGAGCTGTTTATTGCATTACGCAAGTTTATACTGGATGCACAGATACAGATTGGCCCCCAGGTACCGCAATGTATGCCATTATATAAATTCTGCTGCTGCTGCTGCTGCTGATGTTGATGCCTACATAACAGTGTGAACACAAAGAGGGAATGGCTTTAAGAAAAATTTGCTTATAACTAAATGTAACCAAACAATGTGAAATTACTCAAAACAGATTAAGAAGATATTATTCAGTTGAGAATGTAAAGAGTTTGTTGCAATTAGCCATGCGATTAAGACACTTGCTTAAAGTTTACTTGACGTACTGGCTAGACAAAATTTATGTTAGATTATAAAGCTACAATATTTATAGATATAAACAGCAGTATACCAGTACTAAGAGCTTAGTAGAAATCCTAGTCTGGTATGTCATCAATTGCAGCTCTACTTTTAAAATGTAAGCAAGCGTTGCGTATGTTGAAAAAATGCTTTTAATTTATTATAATTATAACTTAAAAAGTAGACATTCCCATTAAAAGCGAACATTTATATTTATTTGTGTGGGGTCAAGCAGATGTTATGTTTCCGTTAACAAAAGTGTTCCCTTGTTTCCGAACAGATCTCGTACTTTATGATTACTTTTGCTTCAAATAATCTTTCACATTCAGTGGGTCAGCTATCTAATCGGCTTCCTGTTCAATGTTTGTGCTGAGCGCGAGGTGCACCTTGCGGTTCAGCACGCCGAGCTCAAATGGCGCCTGTTCATAGCCAAGCAGGCTCTCTTCGCAAAAATAGCCGTTGCGCAGTTGTTCTGGCAAGTGCTCGACCAACAGCTCATTGGCCATTCTGTTGTCGGTCAGGCGTACATATGTGTGGACGACATGCTTAAGGATACCCGGCTCTGGCTCCAGCGTCAATTGATGCACCACATGAGCCAACGTGGAGATCAGATGCAACAGGCGTGCCTGATGCCGGCATACAAATTCCAAACCCACATCGTTCTCTACGATGCGGTGCAATACAAGGGCGGACTTGATCTTCATCATCCTCGAGCCGAGCTCCAATTGACGCAGCATAAGCGGTATTAGCTCGGTGCCCAAAAAAAATTGCACCACTTCCAGCGAATCCAGCTCTAGCATTCCACAAATCACGCCCATCACGGACAGTCTCACGTGTTCAACTGCTCGGGTCTGGCGCGTCATCCTTAGCAATGGCAGTAGATACGCCATGAATTGGGAATGTAGCAGCTGGGGTGCTGTATCCGGATGTGAGCCAATGATCTGTACCAGACCAATGGCAGAACAAACCCGTTGCGCTTGCAATGTGCTTATTTCATTCTCGAGCGCAGTGGAGTAGACGTAGACAGCAATGAGCTCCTGCATTAGGCCGGAAACAGCACCGAAAGCGTGCCACATTAACGGTCCTAGCCCCTCAATGTAATCCTGACGGTCGCAGAGCTCGCGCATAGCAACCGGCCTAGTATCTTTGTTACACAAATCGGAAATCCATTGAAATATTCGCTCCGCTTCGACGCACAGCTCGTCAGCCGATAATTTGATTTCCGCCATTTTGCTCTGCATATATGTTACTCATATAAATGAAGTTGTTATAAAAATATGTTCAATTTGGATATAAAAGCGTCCTTGACTTACGCCACGTTGAATCAAAATAGTAGTTGGATTATCAGTGACAAAAGCCCGAATGGATTTGAAACTTCAAAGAAGGCCTACTGTGTAGTATTTTATTAAAACAAAATGGTGCCCATTTACGTGTTCCTTCAAGCCGTGCAAATATATTTATCTTATATGTATTTATATTATTCCATTAAGAAGCAAATACGAACATATAAGCATAATAAGTAGTTAATAGGAAAGAGCCAAGTGGCCTGCAACCAAAAAAAAAAACAAGAGAGAATGCTACAGTCGAGCAAGCCCGACAGTGTAATACCCTGTACCCAGGTAAACTTCCGCAACTGAGGTATGTATATGCGCCCAAAGCAGCAGCAAAAAGGGGAAGAAGAAGAGCGAACTTGTTGCTGCAGTTTGTGGGGGTTGTACTGGCGAGAATTTGTTTCGCTAATAACTTTTCTTAGAATTGACCAAATTAAATAAAAAGTAGATAATTATATATATATGATGTGTGCAAAGTTTGGTGGGGGAAGGGGGGGGGAATTTAAAAAAAAAAAAAACTCGTCATGCTGATTCAGAATATATATACTTTATGGGGTCGGATATGCTTCCTTCTGCATGTTACATACTTTGCACAAACCTAATATACCCTTTTTACCCTACGGGTACAGGGTATAAAAATGGGGGGGCTGAACTGGGGAGAATGTGTTTCGCTAATAACTTTTATTAGAATTAACCGAATTGGATAAAATTTTAAACAATAGTAGATAATTATATATAACACTAGCAAGTCTTGCCCGTCTATGCTGGGCTAAGTAAAATGTGCTTATAATTATAAGTTTATTTACTATATGATATTCTTCTTTCGACGCTCTCTAAAGTTTTTTAAAGAGTTCATTTTCCAAATAGCAAATATAGTACAATAAGTACTATGTATGGTTATACGTACATACATACATATCTTCGTTACGCACCGGGCGGAATGCCAGTCCTGTGTGCTTCCTCAGCACGTTATCCCCGAAAAGTCCGACGCGGGACATTTAATTTTGATTTATAAATCGGGACGTCCCGTCAAAATCGGAGCGTTCAGCAACGCTGATATGTACATACATTTAAATTTTTAACGCAGGCGTTATCCGCCTATATACATACATACATATATAAGTATGTATGTATTAAATTTTTTAATTCAACACTAATTTGTGTCTTCAATTCCAAATATGATTGTTGTGAATGTAAAAGGTGTGTTTCTGCTTTTGCAAACCGCATGAATAAACTCACAAAATAGGCTTAACGATAAATGACTCTTAGATTTGTTCAGAGTATATTTGTAGCGTTGTTAGCTGACACTAAAACGGTAAGTCGCTGTAAATATGCGATCAGCAGAGATGCTAGAGATGGGCATGTGTCGGATGCTCTATGTGTTAGAGCATCAAAACTATCCATAGTTGAATCGAAGTCGATACAATCAATAATTCCATCGAAGTTTGAATGCAATTAACAGAAAATTTAAATAATAACATCTTATAATTTACATATGTACATCTGCCCGCAACGTGAAGAAGAAAATGCGTAGGTTCGCTTTCATTTCTGCTTTACTATCGCTTACGCAGTCGTTGCCTAGCGACGGTAACTGTAAACTTTTGGCATTTTGCTTTTGAAATTAACAGGCGTAAATGATTTTGTTTTAAAAATTTGATTTAAAACCATAGAACATTATTTATTACAATCAAACAACAGTGCTCGATTGTCCAATGTACATACATGCTATATATGTACGTACACAGGCATACATATGTATGTATGTACATATGCATGCATGTTTCTCTTTACTTTTTCAACCGTACGTAGAAAGCTGCACACATCGACACGAACTGTTGCTTGTTCTGTGTGTCAGTGTGTGTATATGATGTCCCCAACTATTTCATATTTGCGTTCTTTGTAATTTGTTGTTGCTGCATAAAGTTACTAATGAAAACCCCAATGCCAAATGTACTAAACAAAGGAAAAATTACTTTTAAAAATGTTAAATAATTTGTAATTAATTAACATTTCTTGCTCTGTCAGTGCAAGACGAATGAACATACATACATACATAGATTTGTACATATGTATGTGTGTACATTCACACATTAGTGTCTCAACTACACGCACAGCTGCTTGCATGTGTGTGTATGTATGTATACTTAGTTGTCCCCAACTGTTTGATTTTTATACCCTGAATTTCTTTGTGGCGGAACCCACAATACATATTTTTAAAACTTTTTGGGGAATAAGGGGGTGTCCGAATTACTGAAATTGATGCACCCCAAGTCGACTCGTAGGTCCCTAACATTATGTTCAGGTGACCCTATTGCACTTGAAGTAGCCTCCCCGTGATATTCCCTGGGTATCGAGATTTTTAAATCAGTAGCGAATTCGAGCGGCGCATTATATTAGCCCTTTTCTTAATATCCTGTAAAAATAACTTGTCTTCCGAGTTTTAATATTACGGGCTCAGATAATTTTAAGCTTTTGAGCTGCATATAGTATAGTCATTAGTGTTATGAGTGCCAAGTAAGTATTTGCTTTTTAATTTCTCGGTGACTGGGTACAGGGTATTTAAGAGTCGTGCTCGCACGACACTACCATTTCTTTCTTGTTTATACTCTGTACATGAAATGTTCAGAAGCATATTAGGTTTGCGCGAGCTGAAAAATGTAACAGGCAGAAGGAGGCGTGGCAGACCCCACAAAGTATATATATTCTTGATCAGCATGACAAGACGAGTCGATTTAGCCCTGTCTGTCTGTCTGTCAGTCTGTCCGTCCGTATGATCATCTAGATCTCAGAGACTATAAGAGCTAGAGACACCAAATTTTGCACAAAGATGCGTTATGTGTGTATTCTATACGAGTTTGTTTTATTTTTTTGATTTTCCATCCCACTTCCCCCCTATGGGGGTTTTTCCGTAACGCCGTTCGTATAATCGCCTATATCTCAGAGACTATAAGAGCTAGGGACCCCAAAGTCCCAGATGCCTTATGTGAATACAAAGAAAATGTATATTTCGGAATTTCCCCCCTCTCCACCGCAAATCGCGATTTTCTCTAACTCCCGTAATTCTTGGAATTTCGAACTAAAATTTTGCAAATACCCCCAGTTGGTTATTATGTGTCCGTATGCCAAGTTTCACTATAATATACCGATTTAACAAGAAGTTATAGCCATAGATATATTTGCTGCTGCAGCGCTGCTCAAGCGCTGCCCGCGGCTGTTGATGCTGGTGCTTTGGTTGACTGCGAACATGCTTACACAGACACGAATAGATGCGCATAGGCATACATACACTCACACAGACGCAATTGCTATGTAAATGTGCAATTATACACCCTTTACGTGAGTTCGAATACCGAGAAAGGTAAAATCGATCAAACATTTTTTTTTAATTTTCTTAATTTTTTTATTTTCTATAATTATTGTAAACATATGTACAGAGTATTTCAAAGTCGGGACAACCGACTTTAGCTTTTTTACTTGTTCTATTGTTTGTTCTGCCTGCATTTGTAAAATGCATATTTTGAAAATCCTTGAAGGCAAAGTTGTAGATTTAGGTACGTAGATTACAGTCCCCAAATTTGAAATCGATCGGAAAAAATTTATAACACAAACTTTTCATTTGAAAAGGTGAATAAATATGAAAACCCCAATAATTCAAGCTCCACCACAAATTTCGAAAATGCAGTTTTATAGATTATAACAAGAGAGAACGCTACAGTCGAGCAAGCCCGACAGTGTAATACCCTGTACCCAGGTAAACTTCCGTCACTGAGTTATATGCGCCCATAGCAGCAGCAAAAAGAGGAAGAAGAAGAGCGAACTTGTTGCTGCAGTTTGGGGGGGTTGTACTGGCGAGAATTTGTTTTGCTAATAACCTTTCTTAGAATTGACCGAATTGAATTTTATACAACAGTAGACAATTATATATAAATTATGTGTGCAAAGTTTGGTTTAGGTAGCATTTGAAATGTGGACGCTATTGACGAAATTCTGTAGCGGGGGAAGGGGGGAAAATTCCAAAAAATAAAATAAACTCGTTCTTACTCGGACCTAGTAGAATCTGGATGCCAACTTTGGTTATTCTAGCTTTTATAGTTTCTGAGATCCTTGCGTTCATCCAGACGGACGGACAGACGGACGGACATGTCTAGATCGATTTCTCTCGTCATGCTGATCAAGAATATATATGGGAATTCCAAAAAATATAATAAACTCTTTCATTCTCGGACCGAGGAGAATCTGGATACCAACTTTGGTTATTCTATCTTGTATAGTTTCTGAGATCCTTGCGTTCATCCAGACGGACAGACAGACGGACAGACAGACGGACGGTCTACATCGATTTCTCTCGTCATGCTGCTTCAGTATATATATACTTTATGGGGTCGAAGATGCTTCCTTCTGCATGTTACATGCTTTGCACAAACCTGATATACCCTTTTTACCCTACGAGTACAGGGTATAAAAATTACCGAAGTTGTCAAGTGCAAGACCGATCGATCAAGGTTCTGTTAATACTATTTAGTTGTGGGGTGCAGTGGACTGTAAACTAACGCCTAATGCCTGTTCCGTGTAAATATTATCCAGCTCCTAAGTAATTTGCATGTTCATTGTCTTTCTGAGCATTTTACATTGTCATTTAGAATTTCTTTGTAATACTTAGAAAATAAACATAATTGTTGTATAAAATAATAATCGACAATTTGATGAAAATCTCAAAATAAATGCAAATTTTCACTGCAATCAAATGAATGTTCCTTTTTTACATCTCAAGGTAATTGAAGTTGTTGTTGTTGTGCTGTAAATGTTGCTGCGAATACATAGTCGTACATACTACTTGTATGTACCTACCTACCTTATTGTTCGTTTTGCTAAAAATCCGCTTAAGCAACTCACCAACAACGGAAACCGGAAATGAAAGCCATATTGTGTGCAAAGCGGCATGGACGAGGCAGGAGTGGACCATCTATACCGTTGTGGCCTGGCAGCGAGTCACAACTGAGGAAATTCAGTCCGTTTTGTGTATCTGACTGTACTCCCTATTCACATCAACAAGAAAGGCTTCAATACAAACGTACTTGATGGATAGATGTGGACGCAGGAAGGAAGCATGGCTTTTAAGCTGCTCCGGAAATGAAGAATTGTTGCTCAACTTCTTCAATGCCGATACAAACAAGCAATTGCTTAATGTTCCCACTACAAGACATAAGAACGCACAAGGAGCAAATGACCAAAAAGTTGCGAATTCTCGTTCGTGCCATGCCAATTGTCAGTTTCAAGTACATATGTACAAGTATTCGTAAAAGGAGCGTTATCAAGTCTAACCGGAAAATATTCATTTAACTTTCCATTTGCGCCCAGAGTCGATATAGCCATTGCGTGTACTATAACTACATACATATAAAAAAAAGTTGGTCCCTACTGATTGATTGGCGATCATCGCGCAGCCCAAACGACGAAACAGCCCAAACGGCGAAACAGCTGAAGAAGCTGGAAATTTCTAACTCCAAAGGGGAAAAACGGGCACCAATTTCTGTATTTTCAACCGAGCTACGAATGAATACAAAATTAACTGCATAGTAGGGGGGAGTGCATTTTTAGGTAAAAATTTGAAGAAATGAGAAAATATAGTCAGATAAATGTGAATATTTCATCCAATTCACATTAAAAGTGGTTACTGGTATGGTTGTTTGATTTTTATACCCTGTACCCGTAAGGTGAAAAGGGTATATTAGGTTTGTCCAAAGTATGTAACATGCAGAAGGAAGCATCTCCGACCCCATAAAGTATATATAATCTGAATCAGCATGACGAGAGAAATCGATCTAGATATGTCCGTCCGTCCGTCTGGATGAACGCAAGGATCTCAGAAACTATAAAAGCTAGAATAACCAAAGTTGGCATCCAGATTCTCCTAGGTCCGAGAAAGGACGAGTTTATTTTATTTTTTGGAATTTTCCCCCGCTACAGAATTTCGTCAATAGCGTCCACATTTCAAATGCTATCTAAACCAAACTTTGCACACATCATATATATATAATTATCTACTGTTGTTTATTTAATTCGGCCAATTCTAAGAAAAGTTATTAGCGAAACAAATTCTCGCCAGTACAACCCCCACAAACTGCAGCAACAAGTTCGCTCTTCTTCTTCCTCTTTTTGCTGCTACTTTGGGCGCATATAACTCAGTGACGGAAGTTTACCTGGGTACAGGGTATTACACTGTCGGGCATGCTCGACTGTAGCGTTCTCTCTTGTTAAATTTTCATTCGGACATACAAAAATTAAATGTACGTGCATTTAATTGTACAAATTATTTGTACCATATTTACATATGTACATACATGTTATTTTATATGAAGTAGCTAGCAAAGAAATTTGCTCCTTGGTAGTTCCTAAAGCTCTGAAATAATTCGCAATGTGGAAAGACGAATGTATGTATTTGTATAATAAATAAATAAGAAGTTGGTAACAAAAGTACGTAGCCCCGAAAGTACGGACTACAACTGCTAGTATGAGTAGATAATAAATTGTTTAATTTAAGACTGATAGAACATGTACATATGTATGCAATCGAAATTGTGGGTGGCTTTTGCTCATGCGTAGCAGCTCTAACGTGTTTTAAAAGTCAATATCACACTTTTTCTGAGCAACAGATCAGAGAATATTAAAGCAAGAAGATACAAGTAGACTGATGGATGCAAATCAAATTGAAATCTATGTATACCCATTAATTTTATTGAAATATTCCTCCTGTTTATTTGTACAGGTAGTATATACATATATTTATATATTTTTGTTATTACAACATTCACTTTTGTGTTGCTGGTTGTAAGCCTGGCAAACTGCTGCTAACAATTAGTTTAATGTATATTGCCATCATAGACATAGCCACATATGTATATGTATGTATGTATGTGTGTGTGTGTATATTATTTAACATTTAAACAAACAACATTCAATGTTGCATAAGAAAGCTTTGGGCTTTGTTTTGCATACGCAGGGATACATTTCTATGCTTTTGATTTGCACATTACTGTGGGTAAGTTTTATAAATACTCAACGTTCATTTGTTAACGTTTTACATTAATCGCGGTTGCTAGGTACATACGTATGTATACACACGTATTTATATGTACTATATGTATACCTATATTTATTTAATTTATTTGTTATTATTTCACATAATTTTATACAACTTTATTGACAGTCATAGGATGTGCGGGATTCAACGGAGACAACTGTGCAGCCTGCGGCTGGGCAACTGTTTTTATTTCGTTTCTAAATCCTAATTAAAATACATTAAATACATACTATGCAAGTACATATATATGGTATGTGCATATAAAATTACAATGCCTTTTGGTACAATACAAAATGTTACTTCAAAAATTAAATAAGATGCCTTTTTGTGCAGCAACAATATTGGTTTTTCATATCTTATGCTTTATTTATGTTTACATATTTATTTGTAATTATAAAAGGTCTATTATAAAAACGTAAAAAAATTGTGGAAAAATATGTTGATAATTGTAAGTTTGACGCGTTTAGTGGGACTTCAATTTAAATTGATTAAAATTTGTTGTGTAGTCTAGTTTTTTGTTACACAAGTGCGCACATATTCGTAAATGCTTGACCTTTGCGCTATAAAATTGCTAAATACTATGTCTATATGTATGTAATACTTAAACCTAAGGCATATAACTAATTTAATATCTGTTCACATTTATATAATATATGTAGTTTTAGATCGGTCTATATAAATAAACAAATGTAGTTATGTTATCGTCCTTTATAATCCGATGCGACATTGAAGACAAACAAAAATACTCTATACAAAATTAATTTGGAAATATTTTCTTACACACTTCATCTTATTTTTGTTCTGTTAGTAATTTTCGGCGCCATTGTTTGTAGTTATTTAAAACAAATTCAAGCTATTTTTTTCATATACATACAAAAGCCTGGCTGCATATTTGAAACATTGAGTTCATTTGCTTAAAGGTTAGTGACTACTTTTCAAAAATGATGATTTAACTTAATCGTTTTTGTTAAAGAAAGCAATTTTCATATTGCATTTATTTTGTTGTTTTTTTTTTTTTTTTTGATTCCTTGTTTTTCCTTTATTGAATTTTATGTCACAAATATATAAGTCTGTTCATATCAACATTGGTATGCGCAATAAAATATAAACACATATAGGTATGTATGTATGTACATTTGTAAATGCATTCGCTCGTGTTAAACAAACAATTTACAGCTACTTATGTAAATATAAAAATTGCTTTTCGTATTAAATATTTTTGTTCGTTTCATAAATTTCGATTTAATAATCCAGAATACATTTTTATAGATGCTGGAATCATTTACGAGCGGGCACGGGTTATTTTTCCAATACCACAACCGCCTCAATCCACAAAAGCTAACATTAATTAATAGAAAGATCGATAAAAAGAATCCTATGTTAAATTAAACTAGCATGTTTATTTACTTTTGCGCTGGCTTTGAGCAAAGAGCAAAACTAACTTTGGCTTGCCGAAGATTTGCTGTTTTCAAATGTTTCAAGTTGTCAGTCGAGATTGACGAATTACAAATGCAGTTTTAAAATCAGATGAAATGAATTATTTTCAATGAAATGAAGATTTATTCACGCAAAAGCGATGTGCCAAAATCCGTGTTCCCTACATAATTAAATCATTTTTGCATAATCAAAACTTTTCATATAATCAAAAAACTTAAATTCATTTCTGTAAAGCTAAAATGTGCTTGTTAAGAGGAGGGTCTGGCTTGGAACAACAAAATTGGCATATTATTTTTGATTACATAAATAAATATAGTATTAACAGTTAATGTATTTGATAATTAAGAAAAGACGTATATTTCAATTCATCGCATACATTTTTATGTTTACAGCTTAGAAAGCTTTTCACCATTTAGCACAGAGAAGAGATAAAACAATAAAAAGGGAAATGGGGTCAATTGAATAGCTACTTAATGTTGTAAATGAATTTTCTTATCCATAAAATCTCCGCGCTCTCAAATTATGCTAATATTAGTAATCATTTAACAATTGGAAAATTACGCCCTTCAAGTAGACTTCTGTTCAAAACATAAAAAGTCTCTGAAGAGTATATCAGTTGGCAAAAACAGAAGAATGCTTGAAATTTCGGTTCATATAGACGTCTTTGCATGTGTTCTATGTCTGGGTTGTTCATTTGTTTAAAGTATTACAAACAACAAATTCGTACACTTTCAGCTTATTTACTAAAATTCTAAAATGTATACATATGGCCTGCACATATTGAATCTAAGTATATAAAACGTTGTACCGCAGCTGCGTGAAAACACGACCGAGCTAGTGGAACCTTTTTAAAGCAAAAAAATGGTACACAAATATTTTTGGGCACATAGATACAGATACAAATAGTATGCACTTATGCCGAAATAACGTGCGTTTCGAAGAGCGATACAAAATATTCAAAAAATCTAAGGGATAGCTGCTCTAAGCTTCCGTTTCGGCGCCCTTTAAACGCAAACGCGCAAAGTCCTCAAATATTATATCATCATCCTGCGCCTCATCATCATCCAGCTGTATGAGGTTTGTTGTGGTGGGTACATCTGCAGACGCTTGCGATGAGGATGCGCCATCGATACCAGCCTCGCCCAGCGCCATGAGCGGCGCAGCCAGGCTGGCGCGTGGGGAACGTTCGCCGAGCAATGGATGGTCCTCCTCCTCAGGCTTTGGATGCATCAGCGTAAATGGCAACTCAGCAACCAGGTCACCACCCAAGAGTGGCGAACTAATCAGCAATTTTACCTTCACTTTGTAGTGGACCATAATGCCCAAGCTTTCACGCTGTGCGGGATTGGTTATAAGAGTGCTGGACGCCAGATTTGTGTCTTCATGCTTTAACTGCCCGTCGAGCGCAAGCCCCCATTTATCCTTGTTATTGGCCAGTAAGGGACATAGCTCGAACACTTTCGACAGCGTAAAACCCGGGGCCACTTGGCAGCCATCCTCGGATTCCGTTTCGGCCACCACCGACTTGTACTGAGCCGTAGAGAAAAGGCAAATGTCGGCGAATTGGCGCACGCACACCTTAATCTTTTTTACGGTCCGATTGGAGTTGTTGGCTACATGCACATTAACTGAAATCTTCTCGCCATGGTGGTACAGCTCCTTATCCAAACTAGCCTCCAAATGAATTTTGTTTGGCTTCATCATGAACTCCTTGCTAACCTCGATGGAGGGTTGCTCACCAGCTTTCGAGGGCGCATACATAACCTTGCGTATAGTCAAACGCACCGAGTTGCGTTTGTGTGGTTTGTCCTCAATATGCTCACCTGATGGACACAAAGAAAAGTATACCAGCATTAGTAAAAGGTTGAGTAAGATGCAAACTTATGAAAGACAGGCAAATATATTATTATGAGTGTTATACTAAGTATATACTTGTAGTACGTGTACGGATGTAAGTTGTGTGAGATGGAATATAGTATGGGTGTGTCATTTGTCGTGATGAGTAAGTGGTGCATGCGTCATGCTTTTGGAATGTTCTGTAAGCCATTGACTCAGAAGTGGCATTGCCAGCTAAATTTTGTGTGCACCTCGCCAATTTTCCGATGTAGTGGAGTGACATTCAAAAAATGTTGAATGATAACTACATAGGTACCTACATATATTCACCGGCATACCTATATATACATATATGTATGCATAGTTTTTCGATATATGAAGTGCCACAATAAAATAATTCCGCCATCTTATCCGATATGAAAGATTTTAAACACAATAGTTTCAAATTCTCATTTTTTCTCAAAAATTGTGTATATACATTTAGCCCGACGCTCTTAATTGATTGTTTATACTAATAACAGGGGTGGTAGCATATGAAATAAACAAATCAGAAATAAAGCAACTATGGCAAGTAAATAATGATTTTGGATGAATAAACAGCGCCAAAATCAACCAACTGCGTATGATGTGCTATGCATAAATGGCATCACATTTGTGTTATTGTACTATATTTTCAGTTCATAATCAATGTATAATAAGTATAAAGTAGCCTACGGGACAAAGGAATACGCGTCTATGAAGAGTAAATTACAATGCTTTCGATTTGTTCGGTATAAGAAACCTTTATATGCCATTAAGCAAGGTGAACTTTTGAACCTGCTGTTTACCTGCCTTGGATATAGCAAATTATAAAAATTTAGATATGGCTGGAGCGCCATACACACCCCTACACTTAGGTCAGTCTTGGAAGTACTGCGATTGTCAAAAATTGGAGAATTGGTTACAACATCATTATGAATAAACAAGGCTATATAATATAAGTATTTGGCATGACCGGTCTGGACATTTCAATTACGTCCGTCATAAAACCCGCAATACAAAGTTTCAACGCCTTAGCTCGAAACGTGTGGTCCACCATTCTTCCCTGTGAGCATTACAAACCAAAACCAATATACTTTTATATTAATATATTGCATAAGTAGGGTTTAAAATAAAGTCTGTTTGTTTGTGTGTTTATATGTATTTCCTTCATATATCCAAATTGTTACAGTATGTTCGTTTCGATCACGCAAGGCAGATAGCTTACTATATACATACTATATGTACATATCTTGTTTGAAAAGAGTGGGCGGTAACAAGCCTCTTATATAGCAACAAGAAAGGAATGCTAAAGTCGAGCAGACTCAACTCTTAAATACCCTGTTCCTCCCACAAAAAAAGAAAAATTTGGAAAAAACATTTTTAATAAATTTTAAAAAATTATATTAAATAAATTATTTAATTAAATACAAATTAAAAACAAATTGCGGGGGAGTGGGGGGATGTATCAGAATAAAAAAATAAAATTTGACCTGCCTAGGGCTGAACCTGGATACCAAGTTTGGTCACTCTAGCTCTTGTACCTTCTGAGATGCTTCCGCTAATACAGACGGACGGACAGACCGACATGGCTATATCGACTCGGCTTGTCACCCTGATCAAGAATATATATACTTCGTGGGGTCTGCCACGCCTCCTTTTGCCTTTCACCCTTTGGGTACAGGCTATACAAAGAGGAGGATCATTTTCGAAGATTTTTACCTGGGTAGGGATTTGATATTTTGATCGATTCATGTTATTTCCTTATCGGAATAGGAAAAGATGTTCACAACGTTTTCTAATCTTATCTATATAACACGTAGAGAGTAATCCCCTCTCATTTTCGATGGTAGCCGAGTACAAACGGGCATTCATTGTAATTTTTTTATTTGGTTCGCATCTGTATAATTTATGTATATCTATTAAAATTTGATTGATAACAAAACATATGTAAATCGTTTTGCTGCATCTACGCCCCCATTGTTTGTTTCTTGTTTTTCATGTAATTTGACATTACATCCAGTTATTACGTGTATGCAATATACTCGTATGTTATCTTTTTTTACACTCTGCCAGTAAGTTTTGTTGTTGATGGTGCTTTGGTTGATCGCAAGACCTTTAATACAAACCCGATGCAATTTGATGAAATTAAAATGTAAAAATATAAAAATGAGGGTGAATTTTTTGTCCCTATCATGGCATTCTTCATTTATTTTGTTCTGTTGCTTTCCTACCGCACAACAGAATCTTGAAAAGTCACAAACATTTACCCAACTCCATTCGCCATTGCATGTTTATAAGCTTGTGTGGTTCGGTTCTCTTTGAGACTACACAAATGTTCTGAAAGATGCCAGCTGTGCAAATAAGCCACAGTGCAGCACTTTAGAAATAATACCACCCAAAAAAGAACAAAAAACAGCTCCCGTATTATCGGTAGGAGGAATATGTGCACATAAGCAGCAACAGTGAATAAACAAAGAGACGGACACGGAGAATACGCTTGCGCATGCAGAGTAAGATTCCTTGCTTCGTACGCATATGTAATAGCTCAAGTTTTCAAGAAACACCGCCCACATAAATACTTGTATTATAAATAATTGTACTAATTATGTACAAAAAATATGCTATGCATAAATATTAAAACACAACCAAAACGGGTAGAACATTAAAGCCGTCCCAACCCAATCCTTTAGAACGATGTAAGTGATGCATTTTATGGCGGTACAGCTAAGTAAGGCTTTAAGAATAACAGCCTTTTATGCCTTTCATTCCATGACAAAACACGGTAAGGCATTGCGCTGGTCCATGATAAACCATAAGGTGTGAAGGTATGAAGGGTGTTACACCGGTAAGTTTACGTACTCTGTTCCTCCCATTTGGTTACCAAAAGCATACATATGGCAAGCGACAAATTTAAATAAAACATACAATTGCACACTTTGCCAACAACATATAAGAAGTTTTTATATTTAACTGCGCAGCAACTGTCTGGCTACACCAAACAGCAAATATACATGGCAACACTAAGCAGTCGCAAACAAACACAATATTCAATTATTAGACGGATGACTCTAAAAGTGGATAAATAATATCCTGCGCTAAAGCTAATAACCTCTCAAGTTCACACTTTGACTAATTGAGGGACAAATTTAACGTGGCAGTTATAGTTAGTCGCAATGTAGACAACATTTTGCATTGTGTGACGTCACAGAAAGAGAACGACTAATAACGGACCTGTGCAAGGCCACTCTGTCTTCATTGTACCATGGCGGTTCGCCATAACAACAGTCGCTGCACCATTTTATTGCGTTACTTTTCTTAGATTTCGCCTTTTTGTGTAATTTCTTGATGGAATTCAGCCAGTGTGTGTGACCCGTCTCATATTACTAAACTATGTATAGTACATACACGTACATATACATATGTATGTACATATGTATGTACTACTTTCTCAAAGATTTGTTTGAGGAACAATAAGCTTATTGTAGAAATCGTAGTGTGTTAGATGTGACTAATAGTTTTAAATTCCTAACTATTTTATCGGTTAGTTTATTTTATGTACAAGTATCACACAAAAAATATAGTCGCAAGTCGGCCGATACTCTCAATAGCAGACAAGTTAGAGGTACGGTCACATTTTTTTTTGCCTTTTGCTATGGCAACTAACTGTTTTTTACGGCAAAAAAGTAATGTGGTACAAATGTATGCGCATACAAATGTATGTATGTACTATTCGCTACAAATATCAGATTAATATACTCGTACCTTTTCAAAAAGAAACAAAACCCACCAACGACGACGTCAACGCCAATTGCGGCGCATAATTAAAACAATTAGAAAAACAACAGCGTCGGATTCCAATTAGAGGCGTCGAGTTCCAATTGGACAGTCGCTGCGTCATCAACCAATACAATGACATTTTGCGCAGTCCGGCCTAGCGCAGCAACGTAGCTGGATTAATTAACCCCGCGTGACACATATGTACATATGCCTGCGTACAGGCATCAATGATTTTGACTTTGCTTAAGATGACCGATTGATACCCAAGAGCATTAATAATTACTCACCAACAAATGCTTTTAATTCGTAGTCCACGCCACAGGATTTTCCTACATCACCGGGTGCTGGCTGAAGTGATACCGAGGCAGGGCAATACGGCGGTACTTCAAAGTAAAATGGGTGTGCATTGGGGCCCAACTTTTTTATAAGGCGTTCTTGAAGCCGTGTCATTGGGCGCTCTAACTGCATAGGCGGATAAATTTGCTCATGTGCCAAATACAAATCCTTTCGAAACGTAAGCCCCAACACATCCAGGTCCTCTCGTCCATAGCGAAACGCGGCCAGCACTTGGCCAAACACTTTCCGATCCTTCACATACTCTGGATCAATAAAGACAACGCCATCGATAGGATCCACGTGCGTCACGTGATCTACAAAATCGCGTTTCCCCAGATAAACGGTGATTTTTCCATTGGACGAACTTTTCTTAAACACACGCGTGGCCTGTCGTCGTGAGCTCGCGTCGCCACCTCCCTCTTCGAGGCCGCTGAGACCACTGCCTCCTCCGGTACCGTTACCGGCTCCTGTAGTATTCGCTGTGTTGGGCGTTCCACCGCCATTGCCACTTGCAGCTCCGTTTGTATTTGCATTCAATGTGTTCATTATTACTTCCCTTGTCGTCGTCCCTGCTGCTTCTTATGCGTTGTTGCCGTGATGCTTTAAGATTATGTGTACCTGCCGCCACTTCTATTGCGTTCTTTGCGAGACCTGTTGTTTACTCGCACTGTTTTACTTTCGAGCACTTTTTATTATAAATACGGGTGGCGCAGGCAAATTAACTTTTTATGTATACTTAATGTGTAATAAGAAGAAGCAACAGCGCAACACAAATGTTTTTCTGGCGCCATCTACAGTGTTGTTTTTCAGTGTTGGCAGCCCCGTAATTTAACGACGAGGATTTTACAGAACTGTTGCTGAGACGACGTTGCCAGATTATAATCGTTAGACGTCATGTTAATTCTTTTTCCACGTGCATCTGAAGCTAAGCACACTTGTATTTGCCGACGTCCAGAATTAATTCTTATTAAAACGTGTATTTAGCAAATTAAATACGTAATCATAATGGTTCAAAAGAAAGTCACTGCGACCAAGGTGCGAAAGCCCGCAAATGGTCCAAAAAACAAAAAAACGTTTCTTAAATCGGTGCTTGAAACTGAGGTTGCTATTGGAGCCTCCAAATTGTCGCCGAAGAAAAATAAGAAGCCACCAATTCAACAAGCAGCGGCGAGTGACGAAGACTCCGATGCGAGCGAAAACGCCGAATTAAGCAACGTTGATGAAGGCAGTAACTCCGAGGTTAGTAAAATCAACGATAGCTTAAAGTAAAAGGTTAAAGAAAAAGGTTAAACATTAGGCAGAAAACCAAAATGAAGACGAATCAAGTGAGGATGAATCCGACTTGAATGATGACGACGAGCCTGAGCCCGGTGAGGTTTCACTAGCTGACCAGAGCAAATTACATGATGAAGCAGAGTTCAGTGATGAAGAAGAAGAAAACAACTTGCAGGGTGAATCCGAGTCCAGTGGCGATGAAGGGAATGACAAACCAGAGGGTGACGATGATTCAAACGATGATGATGATGATGCACCCGAGGAAGTTGCCATTACCAAAGAAAAGCCGTCAAAAATTGGTGGCATACCGAAAATAACAGTCGGAAAGATACCAGCAGACATACCACAAAATCAAATTATTTTTGTTTCACAACTTCCACATGGTAACTACTGCAAATTTTGTAAAACTAACTTTGATCGTTTTTAAATGTCTAAGTACATTGCAGAGTACAAACACAATGAATTAGTTGGTGTTTTCTCAAAGTTTGGCCCCATCAAAATTGTCGGTCGTGTAAAAACCACAGCTGGTGGTAGCAACGTTCGCATTGCTTTTCAAACTGCCGATGCGGCTGGGGCTGCACTTAACGCCAATGTGAAGGCTCTTACTCTAAACGGTCAAAATCTGAAGGTTGCACCTGCAACAAGCAAGGAAACCTTTATGAAGCGCACTGTAGTGGTGAGCCTCATTAAAGCAGAAACTACAGAGGATGAGTTGAAGGCCCATTTCAAGAAAGTTGGTCCAATCGATTGTATAAATTTTACGAAGAACACAGATAAACTCAGGGCCTATATACGTTTCGAGTCGGAGGACTCAGTGGCCCCAGCCTTAAAGTTAAATGGCAGCCAACTAGGCAGTCGATTCATAACAGTACGCAGTATAATGACGAAGATACCAAAGTCAAACGACTGCACCCTGATTTTGAACAACACAGGGAAGCACGAGTCATTCAAAACTGCGACCATAGAGAAAATCTTCAAGAAATACGGCGAACTTCTAGATGTTGAAGTTATTTGCACATCAAGCACTTTAGCATTTATCACATATAAAAATGCGGGTTCCACCCAGAAGGCTTGGGAGCTAAATGGCAAAACAGTGGGCGATTTAACAGTTGAGTTGAGAAGCTTCTATGTAAACTCGTGCCCGCTCCAAATTCTTGTCACAAATTTGACTCAAGGTAAGCTCTAAATATATTAAGAATCCATCCACTAAACCCTTTTCAATTTCAGAAGTCTCCGAAAGTGAACTTAGAGAATTATTCAAGGCATCGGGTGAAATCGAAAATATTAACATGTTCGGTCGCAGAGCCGTTATAAAATTTGAAACTACCGAAGGATTTTGCAATTCTTTTCTCCTAAACGAGGCTAAATTAGGGGGTAAACCCATATTTATTGAGCCCAACTCAATAGTAAAACATAAAACTTTGCTACAATTTAAAAACCCTAATTTCGGTCGTAAACCCGTTGCTGCTGGTCGTTTCGGTCCTAGAGGCAAAGGCCCTGGTGGTAAGGGTCCTGGTCGTAATGGTCCTGGCGGTAAAGGTCCCGGTGGTTTCAGTGGACCAGCAAAATATGATAGGTTTCCTAATAAAAAACCATTCAACAAACGTTCTGCGCAGGAAAATGGTTCAACGCCACAGTTCAACAAGCGCGCCAAAAAGGCCTAGAGGACAAGTGGCCCTAATTATAAAATAATGTAATTTCAACAATATTAACTACATAAGGGGGTATGCATTAAATACCTAAATAAAATATCTTTGTGCACGTTTTTTTAATTCAATATCCGCATTTATAACAAAACGAATAAATTCCAAATAGGTAAAATTGTTTTTGAATAACATTACATCGGAATGAATTCTGAGGTGGCCTTTTTGCATCACCACTGGAGAAAAATGGGAATCAGGAGTCTGATGAAATATTGAAAGGCTGTAAAGGAGCGTTCTAAGCTTTTCAACAGCTAGATAATATATTTATATATATATATATTAAAATGATTTATAATCAGTTCAGCTAATAGACTCTTCACTATTAGTAGTTCACAGGTGACCCATCACGGTTGTAGTCCCCAACAGTTTGTTTTAGAACATTGTGTATTTCAAAATGAGTTCAATTTCCAATTAAATGTGTAGCCAGCATTAGTGTCCGCGATACTGGGCTTATTTAAAAATGTCTTATTTCAAAAATATTGAGGGTCCTATATTTTCTATTTTTGTGCAAAAAACCATTTGAAACAAACCGTTTCCATGACAAGTATTAATATGATAGAGATCTCGCACTAGACATATCATTTGCATCATTTAAACAAGTAGAGAAGCTAAAGTCGGGTATCCCGACTTTGAAATACTCTGTACACATGTGTATAATAATTATGCGTGTGTGTCTGTGTATGTCTCGTGTGTCTAAGCAAAGCAGTAACAACAATAACAGCTGCCGGCACTGCTTGGTCTGTTAAGTCAGCCTATCATTATGACTTGGCATTTGGACTTATAATCACAGGAGGTACTTATTTGCCAAGTTTCAGTTCGAAATTCCCAGAAATACGGGAGTTATGGATTGCGGATATACACATTTCCGGATGGATACACATTTTCTGCGTAATCACAAAAGGCATCTTGGACTCAAATTTGGTGTCCCTAGGTCTTATAGTCTCCGAGATATAGGCGATTATACGAATGGAAAATCGGGAAAACTTCCATAGGGGGGAAGTGTGGGGGAAAATCAAAAAAATAAAACAAACTTGAGATCCAGGTGTTCATACGGACGGACTGACAGACAGACAGGGCTGGACCGACTCGTCTTGTCACGCTGATCAAGAATATATATAATTTGTGAGGGCTGCCACTCCTCCTTCTGCCTGTACATTTCATGTACAGAGTATAAAAAGAACGTCGGTGCAAACTTTCCACGCGATAGATCTGTAGTTATTGAAACAGACAGGCGGACAAGGAGGTCGTCCCATTATGCTGATAAAAGTTGGCACCTAATGGAGTTGTCCATTGTTAACAAAAGATGTGAAGGGTAGTAGACAAAATGTATTGGGTACATTATGTTTTTGTTATGACCTGTATATGGCGCATAACAATTTAGCCTAAAGCAACAAACGCCGTTAGTCGTTAGTACTAAACGTTAAAATACTTACGCCGACTAGTGTAGGTTTTATAGTTAATGTTAAAACAAAAAACCCACACACTTACTGTTTTTAGTGAAGCGTATAATATTGTTAATATTCCATGCATGAAAATTCCACATTTTCTATGTATAACATTTATTTGTAAAGAATTCTGACATTTTCATTTCAGTTTACCTTTCCTTCTACAGGCTCACAAACATTATATGTATGTATGTATGCTGATAAACATACAGAATCATGAATGCTTTTATAAATATGTATGTATGTATATAGTATGTTTAATGAAATACTCTTCAAGGATGTGACTTATGCGAAGTCCTTTTGTAACTTGCATATTTTGATATATGTATGTATGTGTGCATGTATGTTTGTGAATTAATTGGTATAAATATGTGTTACTTTATTAATGGCTTTCATCATCGTTCTTGGGTTGGCCAACATTTCTTGTATAGATAGATACACATGTATGTATATAATACTTTAATAATATTTTATATGTACGTCGGTTTTGTTCGATGCATGCAATGATGTCTTCATCCTTATTCTATAATTGTATAGTATAAAAAAGAGTGCTCATTTTTCTGGTGTCAGTGCCCAAAAAGCACACCAAGCAATATTCAACCTCGAATCATTTTCCAACCCATGCAAACAGGGCTGAGGCAGTGCTGGGCACTTTTCGCTTTTCAGTCTGAACTCAAGAGTCCAAGTGGCGGACGCCGTCTAATTCTTCCTCTTCAGTCAAGCAACACTAATAGTGGCTTTGGGGTTTTCTGCCCTTTTGGAGATTTTCAATGGTTTTTTTTTTTGACTTGAGTTTTTATTCATATATGTATGTATGTATGTATGTTCAATCTATAATTATTACAATTTCCATTCTCTTAGCTCTCGTTTCTCAGCAAATTACGAATAATAAGGCAAATGAAAGTGAAGGGCACTGGGGCGGGATTATGCAATTTAAATGGGCAGTCAGTCATTTATGTATGCATGTATGTATATAAATAAGTACATAGTATGTGTGTATATGAGTAAATGCATGTAGGTAGGTATATAAGTAGACTCAGTGTAAATTTGATTTAGAAACACACTTTCAACTCCAACTAAATTAGGGTTTTGTTTTTACGTCTTCACATAAACAGGCATAATTGGTTTTAAAGACAATAAATTCGACTGGTTACCGCTTTCGTAATTTTTCCTGTCTAATAATGACTATGAGTAGAGATTTTGCCAGTTTAAGAACTAGTAAAGGAGACCTTAAAGCACTTTGGGAAGAAATTACATGTAAATAATGAAAAATGAACGAAAATAAAACAAGCTATAATTATGAAAGGTGTTTTGAGATTTTCTTGCGTTTAATTTTTAATAGATAATATCGTTTTAAACGTAGTATGTATGTATGTGTGTGTGTGTGTGTGTGTGCTGAGTTACATTACAATTTCTGTTTGTTATAATTGTAGCTGTGATTGGTTAAAAAATTAAAATAATTATTGGAAAATAAAGACCTTTCGCGTAGTTATGTTGTTATTTGTTTCAAATAATAATACACTGGGCTAATTTCAGCAACCAATAATCAAGGATAACTATTTTAAGTAAAATTGAGGAACGTATTCGTATTCTGTGTATAATTTATGTTTATCATCCAAAGAAACATAAATATTCCGTAAACAAATAAGATCAGCCCACGCACAGTGGCTATCATTGCAAAATTAGCCAGAGAGGACGTTGTTTCTTTTTTTTAATACAATTTTTAGCATTTAAAGCGTTACGCGTTAGAACACCAAGTGAGTAAAAGATACAATTGTTATTCATTTTCTTTCTCTTGCTACGTGACAATAGGTTTATATGTTCTATAGCTTTTTAATACTTTTTATGTGCTACCACAAGATTTTGAATATTTCTCCGTATAGGCTGACAATTTTTTCATTTAAAAAGAAAATAAATTGTGGTCTTACTTTGAGCAAAATTAAATCAGCGTGCAACAGTTTTCGTAAACGATTATAATGAGATATATTAAAATATAAAGCAGAGACAAAGCACTCATTGACTTCATAAAATAGCACAAACATTGTTTTTTCGTGTAAGACACACATGCTTTAAAAAATGCAAGGAGTATCTATCGAAATTTCTCGAGTCGTATTACATAAAAGGGATACAAAATCAGTTACTCTCTACAAAGTCGTTACTTGGGTCGCTTTTTTTTCATTGGCATGCCATTTTCAGTCAACCTTTGCCAAATACTAGTTCTTAAATTGTTTATAATATGAGTGGGTAATGTAGTTTTTGTTGTTTTCATTCCTCCACCACCTCTAGAAATCTAGTAATGCAACCTCTTCAGCTTGCGGCGGCTCCACAACGGGCCGGGGCAATTCCTGTGCCGATATGCCGTCGCCGTTCTGAGAAATAAGATCCTGTGCCTCCGACTTCGCCTGGGTATCACCATTACTGTTAATCAGTGGAAGCTCTGCTACATCGGTCTTCGTTGGCGACTTATTAGTTTTCTGGGCAGACGGCGATATTTTAGCAGATTCTTTGGTTTTCGGCTTAAGTGACACAGGTGCCTTGCCTGGGGTGTTTGGTTTAAGTGGTGACGGTTTCCGCGAAGCTGAAGCAGTGTTGGTGGCGCTGCTTGGTGCTAGTGATCGACGTGTAGTGCTGGTAGTAGACGGCACAGTGTGCGTGAATTTAGGTGCCGGACGCGCCGTGAAAGTCTTAGTAATTGTTGTGGTAGTAGTGGTGTTTGCCACCGTAGAGCTGGTGCCGAGTTGAGTTGATTTTCCACGTGCGGCAGTGGTAGTTGTAGTGCCGCTAGTTACACCACCACTCTTAGCCAGAGGTTTGGAAATCGGCTTTGTAGGCGACCGTGGCGTGGTGGTGCTCGGTGCTGCCCTGCGCACTGTAGAGGTCGGTTTAGGTGGTGCTGCTCCGCTTGCACTCGATAGAGTTGTGCGCGGCTTGACCTGAACCGTACCTGTGCCATTTGTGATGGCGGTAGTGGTGTTACTACTAGTGGTGTTGGGCTTGCGTGCAGTGGCAGCACTGCGTACGTTCGTCGATGAGGTCGTTGCTTTTGTCGTGGTCTTGCTGCCTGGTGCCGTAGCCGGGCGAGCGTTACTTAAGGTGGTAGCAGTAGTTCGTGGCGCTGGCTTAGCGCCAAGCGTGCTGCTTAACGGCTTGCGTGCTGTGGTGGCTGGCTTGGCAGCCGCCGCATTAGATGTAGTTCCAGTTCCGCTCTTGGGTGCTGCAGGTGGAGCAGTGCGCGGGCGAGCTGTCGCCGTGGTTGCAGTCGTATTTCGTTTGGCTGCAAGCGTAGTTGTCGCTGGCTTCTTGCTACCGACTGAAGAAGTAGCGGTGCTGGACTTGGCTGCTGTAACGTTCGATTTGGTTGCTGTTCGATTTTTGGCTGTCTCTACGGGGCTGACCTTCACCTTAGAAATCGGAGCATTAGCTGCAGTGTCGCCTTCGCCAATTATTGCATTGGCGACTGCTGCACTTATGTCGGTCGGGATTATAGCTTGTGATTCGGTATTCTCAAGCTCAAGGATTAAATTGCGCGCGATGTCGTTTTTCTGGGATTCGGTTGATTCATTGACGATGTCCTGGCGAACCTCTTCGTTGTGGTGCAGTTGGTCGTTGAATTGAGATTCCTCATTTACAGCTGGTGTGGGTTCTGTCTCGACAAATGGGTTACTGGAGAGTGGTTGCTGTTGCTCTGGTTGAATTTCAACGGTATCAGGGGCGTGATTGCCGACAGCTGCACAAAACGCAGCATTCTCCACCTGAAAAAAATGAAAACATAATAAGAAGGAATAAGTATAAGTAAGTCACCAGACCATCAATAAATTAAAAAAACAAGATAGAACGCTACAGTCGAGCAAGCCCGACAGTAAAATAGCCTGTACTCTCCACAAAAAGGAAAAATTAAAAAAAAAAAAATTAAAAAAAATTAAATTATTAAAAAAAATGAATGAATTAATTAATTAAAATAATTAATTTAATTAAATTAGAATACATGTTTATGTTCAGTTTAAACAGCATACATTTACATCACGTACCTATGCGTGTTCATATGCGTGTATGTATGCAGCACAAAGTTGAACAAAAGCAGCAACAACAACAACAGCTGCGGGCAGGGCTGCCGACAGAGCTGCAGGCAGCGCATGAGCAGCGATTTTACTTATGGCTATAACTTTCTTCAGAATTGACCTATCATGATGAAATTTGGCACACGGACACATTAGTACTAACTGGATGTACCTACCAAAATTGATTTTTAAATTCCGAGAATTACGGAAGTTATAAGAAAAAATACGAATTGCGGGGGAGTGGGGGGGTGTATCAGAAAAAATAAACAAACTCGTTCTGCCTAGGGCTTATAGGAACCTTGATACCAATTTTGGTTATCCTAGCTCTTGTACTTACTGAGATCCTTGCGCTCATACAGACAGACGGACAGACGGACAGACGGACATGGCTATATCGACTCGTCTTCTCATCCTGATCAAGAATATATATACTTTGTGGGGTCTGCCACGCCTCCTTCTGTGTGTTACATACATGCGCACAAAACTAGTATAGCCTTTCACCCTTTGGGTACAGGCTATAATAAAGGTGAATACATTGGCATCAGATGGCATAATTTTCCTCAGATTTATGAACTTTTAGAGTACAAGCTAGCTAGGAAAGTTAATTAGCCCATTGAGTTGTTCACGAACAAAGCAATTTCAAAGTCTCAAATAAACATTTCGGTTGGCCGCCTATAAAGTTCTAAAGTTATTTTCTGCACAGAAACTCTAACAGAAACATTTGTTTTGTTTTTCCGGGACAATTGATTATTTCCAAATTTTTCAATACATTTGCAATAATTTTGAATAGCATTCTACATAGATATCAGTAGACAAGTATTGGCATGGTCGCAGCAACTCAGTGTTGCAGGCATAAGCTGGGAGAACAAAAATTTCAAAATTAATTGCATACAAGTGCTTTTTATTTGCCTCAAGAAGTACATTTTACTTATAGTAGGTTGTAAAAATAGCTGTGGAGCATCAAGCCAGAGCAACAACGTTCAGATGAGGACACCAGCCCATCCACAAAAATAAATCACGCAACAGATAAATTTCCAGCTAAGAAAATAAGTGAATGTTTTGCCCGTATATAGCATGTATGTATAATACTATCTACCATATATTGTAAATAAGAAACGTTTTTAACTAAAGTTGAATCCGCAAGATTTGGTGAGAGGCACTCCACAAAGCATGCAGCAGTACAACAACGTAAGGAAAGTACGAGGGCTGAGTTGGGTGGGGATGGAGCGATGCGTCAACTTGGTGGGGTGTGCAGAATTGAGTTTGAGTGGAGTATGTGTGTCTGTTTGTATGTAAAAACACATTTATGTGTGAGAGGGTAAGACGGGCGCACACATTACTGTTGCATACAAATCGTTATAATGACATCAGCGGCGAATGTTGTCGTCGACACTGTGAAAGTGGGAAAATAGCTCCGGGCACAATGTCATGATTGTTGTTAGGCTGGGAGCACGTCGACGACGATGATGGCACGGCACAGCACGGCAGAGCACAGCACAGCCATGGCAGACACAAAAGACACAGAAAACATGTCACTGACTTGACTTTGCTTTAGTTTTGGTTTGGCGGAGTGAAAATGTAGCACTAGCATTTTTTCCGGCACTTTTTCCCTAGCCGCACGACGACGACTAGCGCTTTTAAATGTCATTGACCAGAAAATGCCAGCCAGCGAGTGAGCGAGCCAAGTGTTTGTTCGGCCCGCGGGCTGGCCAGCCAGCCGGCCGGCCGGCCGGCATATTGCCCACTTTTAGCCCACTCGCGCAATTGTTAGTTGTTCGTTGTTGGTTGGCCGGCCAGTCAGCCCAGTCCGCACAGTCAGCTTTCTTTTGCTGCTCGCTTACCTACTATATACTATAGTATGGAGTATGTAAAGTCGGTTGTTGCTCAAGCGTAATGGGGTTAAAAGTGAGCTGAAGCCGAAAAAGTCAATGAGGAAAGCCGTCAGCTGCCTTGGCTTGCTGCTGCGCTGACTCACCCAGCTATTCAGTGGATCGGTTATTACGAGCACACACACACACTCACATCAATTTAGTAATTTTAACTTATATGTGGAAATATATATATATTTACAGGTAAACTTCCTTATATCAAAGAAGCTAAAGAATTACTTTCGACAATTTTAGATCGATACCTGTAGGTGGAGAATAGTTTCCAATTAACCAGATGAGATGATGGGAATGCCGGCAAAGCATTCAAACTACAGAAGTACATTCATTCATAATTGGGCATAGTATATATGTACATAGATACATATGCATGTATTCATATACAAACAAAATTCATTGATAGCTTATGTGTGCGCATGAGCATGAATATCTTTTCCCTTGCCAAAAATGAAGCAGATGACATCAACTTTTGTTGCTGCTGCTTATTACTCTACAAATACACGTACACATACTCGTACAACCAACAATACATCGATAGAGACCTTTAAATTTTGAGTCATACTATTTGGATGATGAACAAAGTTGCAAAAACTGACGAAGAGAACAAGAATGAAACGCTGAAAATTAATCAAATACAAATAATTAAGCGAAAACAAGCCTGGAATGCTAGTGCGTGATTGCAAAAATAGCTCAATTTATATACATAGTATTTTATATGTAATATATTGTATATAGAAGTAGGAGAAGGTAGATTGTATGCATATAATACACATAAGTAGTCGGCTCGTTTGTTTTTATTTTGTATGTATATGTAGTGTGTACGCATTTCAGTTGTTAAAGTTATTAGTTTGCGACGACATACATACGTATATATGAACGCTGAGAGGTCTGAATGTCTGCCTTTGTGTGTATTGTACATCGAATGCTAACACAAATGAATTAATTCGTCGGCATTGCTACACACGATTTGTTAGGACATTGAAATTGGCAGAAACAGCCATTAGACCGCACCAAGTTTGCAAATTTTAATATGTATGCATGTACAAATGAAATGTACATCATAACATATCTGTAGGTAAGAATTTAATAGCGCGTAATAGTAAAAACCATTAGCATTCCTTACGTACACAACAGGCCCGTCAGATAGCGTGGTGACTAAGCGATGGGCGGTGGCCAACGGCAACAGCTTTTAAATACACAATTCCAAATTAGGCAGCAACGACAAAATAATGCACGCACTACCCACATATGTACATACTATACATAAGAGATACTTAATGTGCGGTATGTAATTTCTATTTTTAAGCGGGAAAAGTATTCAAAGTACATGGACGAAAACGTTTGTACTTTGTGTTGACAAAGAAGAGCATATATAGAGGAACACTGCATTGGTCTCTTTGGCAGCCCACCCGATTTGTCACTCTTCTATATGCATAAAGACATACAAGTATACTCGTACATGTATGTAATGTGTAAGTGCAAGAAATGAATAAATGCTACAGAACTTTTTCTGTAAATCTTCCCAAATAATAAACGATAAACAATAAACCGAAGGTCTCCGATGCTCAGTTCCTTCGGCAAATATAGCTACTAATAGTATAACAAATAAATAAACAATTTTAAAGTTATTATATTTGTTATTTGACCTTTACTGAATATTAAACCATAATACCACCAACTATAAAAAAAAGTTGCAAATAAATAGCATGGCTGGAACCCTCTAGGCTCGATCAAATACCATTTACAAGATCCAGACTTGGACACACAAACATAACAATACCACCCAACAAGACAAAAGACGTGCTAACTTTTCCATAGCTCCATATACCCATCCCTTTCAAATAACAGATACATTTTTCAGCCATAAATACAAAACAAAGGTGTAGAGTTACATACAAATGAAAAATGAAAATATTAGTTTATGTAGCTTTGGACAGTTTTGAAGAAATACTGTTCTGGGGGAAAAGGGATGAAAATCAAACAAGAAAGGAATGCTAAAGTCGAGCAGCCGGCTCAACTCTTAAATACCCGGTACAATCCCACAAATAAAAATAAAAATGTATTAAAAAAATTAATTTAATTAAATATAAAATATTCTATACATGCTTACATACATTTACATCAGCACTTGTACATAAGTATGTATGTGTGCATTACATAATTATGTCAAAGCAGCAACAAATGCAGCTGCGGACAGAGCTTGGGCCTGGTTATATGGATATAACTTTCTTTCTAATCAACCTATCATAATAAAACATGGGATACGGATATATGATCACTAACTGGCGAATAGCGGGGAAGTGGTGGGGTGCATCGGGAAAAATGAGAAAACTTGCACTTTCTCAGGCATAGGAGACTCTGGATACCAAGTTTGGTTATTCTAGCTCTTATACTTTCTTGCGTTCATACAGACAGACGGACATGACCATATCGACTCGGCTTGTCATCCTGATCAAGAATATATATTCTTTGTGGGGTCTGCCACGACTCCTTCTGTGTGTTACATGTACACTCGCACAAAACTAATATACCCTTTTACAAGCCGACGTTGAACAGATCGTTTTACAAAGTAGAAAGTAGAAAAAGTGCTTACAAATTAAATCTTCACCTGCAGTACATTTTTTGTTACACAAAATATTATAAGTTGACTGAATTCAACGATCAAAAGGCGAACAAGTCTATGCAGGACCAGCAACGTGGCATATGAAGTTATGAAGGCGAACACGTTCGTTATGCACAACACTAACTGATTCATGAACGGTTATGGGCTGCGAACTACTTATATACCCTTCTGTGTTCGAAGCATCT